CGTATGCGTAGCGCGTGAGCGGCAAGGTCAAGTTTCGGCCGGCCAACAGCAACGAGCACGAAGACCACCCACAGCACGAAGATTATGTCTTTGGCAACAGTGCCGGCATCTTCCCGTGCAAGTACGGCCTTGAACGCTACGAGTTCTTCTACCTCAAGTACACGGGGCACCACACTTCGCACACAACGACGACGCCCTTGTACGAAGTGGTGGTCGACTCGAGCTGTGAGAACAACGACGTTAAGAGCAGCAGCAACGATCCAATCGCCGAGACGCAGCGCGGCGACTACGAGCCGCTGGCCAAGTTCAAGTCCAACACCGTCTCGATCGGAACCTTCGACCTTTTCATTCGGCTCACGAGTGACACGCCCCTCGTGTGGGCCAACCAAGCGGTCAACTTGACGTGGGAGATCTTTGGCGTCAAGTACGACGTTCTCTCGCATTCGCGCAATCGCAACTGCATTGCGTTCTTCAAAGTGAGCGACATCCACAACACGCGCAAGTGTGCCAAGGTGGAAATTGTGCCACCGTCGGCGTTCCTCAAGCCGCACGGGGCGGGGCCAGTCTCGGGGCGGATGCTCGTCTTTACACCGAGTGAGCCCGGCATGTATGAGATCCGTTTCCTCTTCAACTACTTTCACGAAGCCAAGTTGCACCGGCGCTGCCAAGTGTTTGGCCAACTCGAGGAGCAAATGCAACACCAGCGCATCAAGTACCTCTTCCAGCGCCGCGACCTCGCGCGCACACTGAGCCTCCTCCAGCAGCAAACGCTCAGTGCGTGGACGGGAGCGCTCGTGCACACGTACGCGTGGCTGCATCCCGTCTTGAGCTCCCTCCTATACAAGCCCGTGGACGACTCGGTCGTCAACAACCCGAGCCTCTATACGCGCTACATGGTCCGCGAGGTCGCGAACCAATTAGCGCTGTTCGCCGAGACGAACGATTTGCAGCTGCAAGCATGCATTGAGAAACTGCTCTCGCCGCTTCGGTCGCAGTCGTTCATTGCGTTTTTTGGTGACGCGTTCAACGGCAGCGAGGAGATGCGGACGCACGCCCACACGATCGAGTTTGTGTCGCCCAACGACGCGATCCGCGACGTGTTCCTTGACGCCAAGACAAAGAGCATCAAGCGGTGGCCCGCCCTTGGCGCGGTTTCGGTCAATGAATGGGCCTCGCCCAAGAGATGGCTCCTCCACGACGACAAGGTTCTCCTGGATGCGGGCCCGGAACACTTCGAGGCGCTCGCGCTCGAGTACCTCAGTCGTCCACTTCTACCAGGTCGCGTCGACATTCTCGACGAGATTATTCTCGACAACCGCGCGCTGCTCATGACCGCTAACCTGGTATGCGACGGCATCGGCTCTCAGATCTGGAGGTCAAATATTGTGTTTAGGTGGTCGAAAGCGTCGCGACTGCCGCCTGTGGTTTGTACGAGCCCGCGATTGCGAGCGTGGTCCAAAGCTTCCTCAAGCAAGCCAAGCAAGCGGGAAAGCTAGGGCTCTTCCAAGACCTCGCGGTATGATATGCAAAAAGTGCAATCTCATGACGTGGCATCACCAGGTGCCGCTGCAAGATGAAATCCGCAACCATATCCAGCGGCTCATCCGCGCGCTCTTTGAGACACACAGCGTGTCCGGTGACCGCTTTGTGGGCTGGGACACGGACGCGGCGTGCCCGCAATTGGGGCTGGATGTGCTCCAGCACCAGGCGCTCCGGGCGTGGCTCAAACCGAAGTGCGTGCACGGCATCGTCAAAGTGCTCAAGCGTCGCTTCGCACACACGGCGGCGACGAAACTGAATTGCTGCCGCCACCCCACATTTCCTCCGATGTCCACGACTGCCGTCGAGCTGGGCCAGCGCACTGGTGCGTCGCTTGATCGGCTAGTAGATATAAACTCACAGTTGACTAGGCACATCGGTCGTCTACTTTCTCAGCGAAGCCAAGACGGCTTCGGACGAAGCGACGCACGCGTCGTAGAGCGTCTGTGTGTATCCATGTGCAAATGCGTGTTAATAACAACCACTTGATGTGAAAATGACTGAAATGGAGGCTGGTTGCGGATAATGCACTAGTGCAGCGCTGTTGTAATAGATGCATCTCGCCCGGGTACTATCCCGTGCCTCATGCGTGCATGGAGACCTGGTTCTTGGGTGCGATTGCCTTGGCTGCCACAGCAGCAAGGCCCAACGTCCATCAGTGCGGTCCGAAGACACACCTGAACCAACACTGAAGGTGCCGTGAACGTTAGAACGCTGGACCGAGGAGCAAGCTTCATCGCACCGGCACTGTCGTGTTGTAAACCGATGAACTGTGATGGGACGCGGCGAGCGTTGAGCAAAGGTGTTTGGCGCGCGTTTAAAGTCGAAACAAGAATCTGTTTCACACACGCCAGAACTGCGTCACGCTCGCACGCAATATTGTCCAACCTCGTACAAAGCAACTCGCCTCGTCCGACGTCTTTGCGGTGATATAGGAAGCCAGCTTTCCAAGCTCGGCATTGTAAAACGATCGTTTGCAGCCGCGGGCAACACAGTGGAAACAGAAAAATCTCGCGCTTCAACGCTCGGATACTTATGAGCCACCGATCGATGCCACATCCTGCCGCCACGGTGACGCCACGAACCCTTCGACCCGCCACGCCATCGCGCAAGCAAAGGGGCGCGTTGGTTGGTTCGCACACGTCAAAACATATGGGCCACATTGCACTTCAACTGCATAGATCGTGTATCCGGATGCAGGACTGTAGATGCGACACGCGCGTGATTTGCGCAGAGTTGCAAGCGCGCTGCCGTGACAACGTGGTTGGTGGCGCATCGACTGCAGAACGCCATGAGCCGC